AACATCAAGATGCCTTCACCTGAAATAAGTGCTGTGCAGTCTATACACAAGTGGGTGTTATGATGAGACAATGCGGATGTACTTTTGATAGCTCATTAAGAACCAGTCTCATAAACCGATGTATGCTTATGTTGATACTTGAAGAACTTCTGTCAAACAGTCCTTTTTCTGACAGCACATGAGTCCTGGTTCCACTGTGATCTCTTTGGAATAGCTGCAATGACACATGGTTAAGTGGTCCTTCTGCTGAGGCACAGATCTGAACTTTGTGTACAGAAGTTTCTTGGCTATTGAGTAGCTTAGATGACTCCTCTGTATCTGCATCACAACTTCACCCTCCCCTGCAGTGTTCCCATCAAGTGACTTTAACAGAATGATAGAAAACACTGTTTGCAAAAAATCCCAATAGAGAGGGAAACAAACAAAAAACTATAGAAAAACAAAACAGCAGTTAATGTAGATGAAAATAAAGGTTACCTATCAGTACTGTCCAAAACCTAGACAAAAGCCTATATGGACTTTTTCTAGATTCCAAGAATTCTAGACCCTTTGGAATGCATATATTAAGAATGGAAAAGTCTAAGAAAACCAGCAACTTCTTTCAAGTTTTTACTGTGTTGTCAGACACTTTCTTTGATCTTCAACTGATCCTGTTCTGTGAGTTAAGTAGTATCATTTTACATGTGAATAATTTGTAACTCAGAGAATAAGGAATTTGTACAAAGTTATAGGGCGAAATGATATAGGTTCTTTTTGTTTAAGTTAGATACCAGATTTGTCCTTGTAAAATCTGCTTTCACCATCATTGTTCATAATTTAAATAATAGCTAGTTTTATGTGTCAATCACTCTTCTAGATTCTGGGGCTACAACGTTGAAAACAGAATTCTGGCTTTACTAAAGTAATATATTGGTGGAGAAGCACAATGTATGTGTAGACAAACAAATCTGATGCAATAAGTGCTACAAAAAAAAAATGTGGTGATGGGTTAATGATGGTAAGGAGTCAGAAACAGCCTGAGGAGTGGCCTTTAAGTTTAGATCCAAGTTTAATAAGCAGGAGCAACATTTGAAGGTGGGTGACAAGAATACTCCTGGAAGAAAGAACACCTAATACAAAACTCTAAGGGGAAAAAAGCTTTGCAAGTTGAGGGAGATTAAAAGAGAGAGAATATTCCAATGTTCCTGGTGCAGAGTTAGCAAGGAGAGAAGTCATAGGAGATGGAATCCTAGAGAGGGCAGGAACCAAGTCTCATAGGATTTTGCCACCAAGGTATTTGGATTTCACTATGGGGCTCATGAGACAATGACAGAAGATAAAAATGTGCAAATCAACCATATGTACATATGAGTTTTAAGTCATGAGACTGAATGAACTTAGGTAAAGTGAGCAAAAAATAGGGAATGTTCTTGAGCCTGAGATTTATAAGAAAAGCCAGCAAAGGTAATGGAGAAGGACTGGCCACAGAGGAGGAGGAAAATTGGAGTATGATGCCATACGTTGAAATTCAAAACATTATGTTTGGGGAAGGCAGTTGTAAATTATGTCCAAAAACTTCTGAGAAGATGAGTAAGGTAAAGGCTAAGAATGACCACTACACTTGATAAGAAGTCTCTTTTGTAAATCACTGCAGCAGATTGACAGGATGCAGACCTATCTAGAATGGATTCAGGAAGAACAAGAGATGAGGATACAGTGAATATACACAAATCTGCAGGGGGTTTTGAAGAGAAGCAGAAAAACAGGACAATAGCTGAGTTACAAAAACTTTTATTTGGATTATTTACTTGTCTGTTAATAGTATAGGCTACAGCTGGCATCATCTCTTCTTTCCTTTATGGATTTTTTTTAGCTTTGTTTTTAGTCCTTTAGGATATATATATTTTTTTCATCAGAAGCTTTACACACATTATGATTCACTTTACCTTAGGGTCTTGGGCCACTACCTCAAAGAAGAAACCAAACCATGGTCTCCTGGAATAATGTGTGCTTCTTTTAAGATGATACCCAGAAAAATAGCATTCTAGGTGATGGAAGTTATGAAAAAATGTCTCTCTAAGGAGCATTATGCTTCTTCTAACATACTGCAGGTTCACACTCCTTTGAGGACTGAATCAACTGCGATTTCAGTTGCCATAACAGTCAGCTGTGTAGGATTTGCTCAGTTGGTAAGGAGCTAGTGCTGAGAATGAAGTTCAGAGGGTGAGTCTATAAACAGCATTTACTTTTCCTCTGGGAGTTATGTGGTGGGTGTGGAACCAGATCAGATGGGTCACATAATCTGTTTCTCTTCCTCCACAGTCTGGGATAATAACTTATAACCAGCAGGCAATTAGTATTATTTTTGCACCTACAGCAAGAACTTTCATTGAATCGATCATTCACTGTGTGTTTCAGGAATACTTTCCAGAGGTTGGTAAGGCACCTCCAATATCAGTCAGGTAAACCACTGTTAATGGTGGGCAACATAAAGTGTGTGGAGGATGATGAACTTTTTTTTTTTAAACTCAAACATCTTGTATTAGTCTGTTTTCTATTGTTACAGCAAAATATCTGAAGCTGGGTAATATATAAAGCTCATAGTTTTAGAGGATGAAAGTCCAAGATCAGGTGGCCCCTGATCAAGCCCCTGTTAAAAGGCCTCATAGAAAATGGCATTATGGTGGAAGTATGTGAAAGAGGGAGAGATCACACAAGACAGGAACCCAGAGAGATTGAGAGGTAGGCTTGCTCTTTTTATAACAACTTACTCTCAAGAGAACAAAGGTCCCAAGAAAACTACGTTAGTCATCTTATGTATACCCCATGACCTAACTACCTTACACTAGGCCTCATAGTTTAAATGTTCCACCATCACACTGAAGCCAGAATTAGACGGGCAGTCAGTGTAATAGGTAAATTGAGTCAGGTAGGATCAAGAAGGCCAATTTTGAGTCTAAGAAATTGGAGACTGTCCCCTGAGGGATTAAAATGTTAATTCCTTCAGAGCCCTTCCTCCACCCTTATCAAGAATCTGTTCCTGATCCAACCTGCTTCCCAGGTAATCTTTCCCAGGATTTTCCCCTTCCTACAGTGAGCTATAAGGTTGTTAATGTGTCTTGGCTACTCCATCCAGCTCTCCCCCGCTTCAGCCCATCTGTTACCCACCTTTTGGCCCTCCCACTGAGCATTCCTGGGCCTAGTCACCTATGCAGGAAGGAGAAAGATAAAGAGGAAAAGGCAGGAGAACAAAGAAAGCCTAGGACATATAAAAAGGTCAGAACATCTCCACTCTGGGGATACCAGGATACCAGCTATGGCCCCTTTCTCCCTTGCGGGAGAAGTCTATGTTACCCCTTTTAAAATAAACCCTGCTTCATATGCTTGCCTTGGCGTGCTTCTCTAATGTTCAAACTTCAACATGTGGGGAAGCAGGATTCATCATCGATAACAGGCAGAATCAACACCACCACTATAATGGGAAACCAGCTTCCAGGACATGAATCTTAGGAGGACATACTCAAACCATATTTAAACCACAGCACATTCCATGTGTTAATTCAATCAACAAATAGTGAGGGCTTACCATGTTCCAGGCAGTGATGACACTACAAAGATTAAAACAATAACCCCCACTGTCATGGAATTTAGTTTCTAGTAGAAGAAGACATATAATAACAAATCATAAATATGCAATATATTAATTATGATAAGTGACAAAAATAAGGCAGGGGTGATAGACAATGTCTTACTTTAGGCTGCCATAACAGAAGAACATAGACTGTAGTTTAAACAACAAACATTTTTCACAGTTCCAGAGTCTAGGAAGTCTGAGATAACAGTACCCGCATGATTGAGTTCCAATGAGGTCCCTTTTTCTAGTTTCTTCACATGGCACAAAGGAAAAAGAACTCAGGGCTTGTCATTCCCTTATAAGTTAGGGCATCAATTCTATCTTGGAGGTTCCAATTCCTCACAGAAACATAGTTACCTCCCAATGGCCCCATCTCCAAGTACCACTGAAGCCAGATTTAAAGTTAGGTAGTCAGTGTAGTTAGGTAAATCGGGTCTAATATCCAGTAAGATCTAAAATGGAGGCCATGTTGAGAATGAATGCCTGAAACAACTCATGGAATGTTAATGAAGTCCAAGAAAAAGCCCAAGGCCAGAGCCCATCCCAAAGAGGTGTTAATGAACAGCCCCCAGCAAACATGAAGATAGCTTATTCCAAAGAAGTGTTAATGAACAGCCCCCAGCAAACTTGAAGGTGCTAACTCAGAAGTCCTTCCTAACCAGATTACTTCTTTGGCCTACCTGTGTCCCACCCCTCGGGCCTTCCCACCTACATTCCATCACTGAAAGAAACTATAAAATGGAGAGACAACCGCACTTCCATCTCTTGGGTCCCCTTCTTCCTCTAGGAGAAGTCTTTTCTGGTGTCCTTTAATAAACTTATAATTTTCCACTCTGACCTTGCCTCTGCGTGCTTCTCTGGTGTTATTCTTCAACATTGGGGAAGCAAGGACTTGTCACCAGTCAACAGCGGTAACACCATCATGGACAGAATACTGAGGCAGTCTATGTAAACTGCCATGGCCTACCTTTCCTGAATAATATCACCTTGCATAATAGTTCAGATAAACTACAGAGCACATGGAGCATGACAGATGAGAGGAAACTCTACTCTCCATTTTCCTTAAAAAGCTAATTAATTATTTACTATTTAAGTTTCAAAATATTTTAGAAACATAAAATAACATAGCTATAAATACAGAATATCAAGAGAGCCTTGGAGTACTAAACCTGGTTTAGAATGTAGTGGCATTAAGTAAAATGGAAATTAAAGAGGTTTCAAAGAAAATGCAGTATGGTAGTACTAAAGGAACTCTGCTTCTGGGGGTTGTCAGAATGGTGTTTTCATGATGTAACTTAGTATTTACGGTAAAGTATTACTATGTTACTATAGCAATAGTAAGGGCTCCAGAGAGAGGATATAACTATAAAACACAAAGTCAAAAAAATCAGAATGAATATATATATTTTTTATTACAGTAAACATGTCTATAATCATAAATATTTCTTTAAAAAAAAGGTCTTAAGATCTTTGTGACACAAGGTAAGTAAAAATTAGTAAAATTAATTATAAATGAACATATTTCAGCATATAAACCAAGTCTTCCTTGAAACTGTAATAATGTGAGCTAATTATATTATTTTCTAGAATGACCTAATAATTAATGTGAAGCCCACAGTTAATACAGATGACACATATGATACTGTACTTTTCCAAAGTAAAGAAATATATTTAATTTAATATTTTTGTCAATCCCATTTAATATCCAAAGTAAACTTTACTGGGTAAAAATATAGTTTTAGATATCAGAAAAAACAAACATGAAAAGATAGATATATTATATGTACTTAATTTAAAAATATTGTCAGACGAGGAAATGTAAATCATTATTTGAATTTGAGAAAATATTATAAAGCAAAGGGCTTTCAAAATACAGAAGATATTCTGAATCAAATGAAAAATCAAGATCATGAAGTAGTGACAACTATGTCTCACATATAACAAACACCGACACATCATGGAGAAAATGAATAGAACTATTTCCTTAAGTGGTGATAAATAGATGACAGAGTTGGCTTTAAAAAAATGCAAGGAACATAGTAAATTAACTTACCACCTCATTAAAATAAAAGTGAGAATAATTCTCTTGGAAGAACTTAAGCACCATTAGCAGACACATCTTAGGCCAATTAATGAAATCTTTTGTGTTTCAGTAGAAAACTATTTCAATGGTGAAAATGATGCAGGAATCAGAAGCATATTCTGCTGAGACACTAGGTAGTTGACACTTTCCCGAACTGGAAAACATTTCATAAGAAGGCATATAAAGTTATTGAGCAAATCAAGTTTGTTGTAAAAATAACCCATGCCTAGTGAAATAGCTTACCAGCTGCCACGACCCTGGGATCCTCATGAGACTGATGCCTCCCAGCTGCACGACTATCTGCACTCTCATTCCACCACAGAACATGAACTGCAGAAATAAACCACACAGTAGTTTTACATTAGTTTCTCTATAATAGTTCTAAATAATAGATCATAGACAATTGTGCATGCTGTAGAAAATTTATATACAAAGAAGAAAACTAAAAACTAGAATCATCTTAACTATCTAGATAAACCTCTGTTAATATATAGTGAAATTCCTTTTAAAAAATGGTGGTACTGGGAATTGAACCCATGAGCTATATCCCTAACCCTTTTTAATTTTTTTTAATTGTTGAAAATTTTTTTTATATCTTTATTTATTTTTATATGGTGCTGAGGATCAAACCCAGTGCCTCACACGTGCAAGGCAGGCGCTCTACTGCTGAGCTACAGCCCCAGTCCCACTTTTTTTTTTTTTAAGACAGGATCTCCCTAAGTTGCTGATTCTGTCCTCAAACTTCAATATTCCTGCCTAAGCCTCCTCAAAATCACTGAGATTATAAGTCTGTGTCACCACAACCAGCAATAATATGATAACTTTCTGTCAATGATATTAATTTAAAAAAATAAATTTTGCCTGCTACATAAAAACATGAAAATGTATACATTAATGGCATACCATGTAATGTTAATATTATTTTCAATGACTATATAAATTTCTTCTTATAACATCTTTTTTTACTCCAATTTCAATTGTTGATTATTTAGATTATTCTCAATATTGCAGTATTCTACACAATCTTTTCTCCCAACTTCTTATTGTTGATTTTTAAATTCTCAACATTGTAGTATTCTACAAAATGCTAAAATAAATGGGTTTTTTTTGTACATTATTACTTATAGTTTTTTATAATTAAAAATTTCTTTTTTCTTTGCTACTCAGGATTGAACTCAGAGGCACTTGACCACTGAGCCACATCCCCAGCCCTATTTTTTATTTTATTTAGAGAAATGGTGGATGAACTTTACAATGAGTTGCTTAATGCCCTACCATTGCTGAGGCTGGCTTTGAACTTGTAATCTTCCTGTTTCAGCCTCCAGAGTTGTTAGGATTACAGGCGTGCATCATCATGCCTGCTTTTATCATTAAAATTTACTATAATAGTTATATAGCTTTTGGAAAATAAAAGAAGATCATAACAAACATATTTAATCCTACCACTCTGAAACAACCACTTTTCTATTTGGCATATTCTTTACATACTTATATGTATATATGCACTTAATATTTATGTTTCTGTATCTACACCATATATATATACATAATTTATATATATTTCTAGTTAAGAATTATGAGTTTATTTATTACATAAACAGGGTCAAACCGTGTTATTTCCAGTATTTTTCTACTATAAACAAAGCTGGCATAAACCTCATTAGAGCAGTACCTACATGTATATCTATAATACAAATGTCATTAAGATTAATTATGATTAATATGAATTTGTACAAAATATGAATACTTATTTTTTCCTGACCAAATAGTATATCCATATAAGCACATTAATTAAAATGTGACATCTCGGTATGTCTTAATCTGCATTTTCTTTAACATATAGGTGGTTGTTACTTGTATGTCTACCTTGATGTAAATTTTTATTTTCCTTTTTGCTTTTGAATTTTACTCATGCTGATATGGAGCATGTGGAAAGTTTAGGCCTTTGTATAATAAAGGCATCAAGTTGATATTTTTCCTCTTACATAGTTTTTTCATTTACGTTTTGGCTTAGAAATATAGTCTCCATCCGTATTATTACCAAAATTAATTGATATTTTATTTTAACAATTCTGACTTTTACATTGAATCTACATTCCATTTTAATTTACTTTCATTTTAATACATGGTGGGAGATAGAAATCTAATAATATTCACAATTCTTATCTTCTTCATATATTCCTCATCTTAAAAATACATTTTTAAAAATATATTCTGGTTAGTTTCTTTGGACATATGACTAGTCAATTTCTGGGTAAAGATCAGGAGCTCAGCTTTGATTGGGGTAGGCCTGAGATATCTATTGAACATTCAAGTGAAAAGTAGAGAAGGCAATTGGATACAATGGATCTTTCAAATATTTTATTAGCTCTTCTTAATCTTCTATCCAATGGGTGAACTTTACACAGATATTTTAGAGTTAGCCACAGAAAAACCTCTCTGAAATTTTCACTGAAATTATATTCAGCTTTAAGAGTTAAATGCTCCAGATATGGTTTATTAAAATTTGTTTCTTTATATCTATTTTTCTATCTATTTATCTATCCATCCATGCATCCATCTATCATCTATCCATCCATGCTACAATGTTATGAAGTTATTACCAGTCATAGATATACATTGTTTCTATCCTTCTTATATCTGATAACATTTTGGTTTTTACATTCCTGATATGTATGCATTATTTTGAAATAATGGGAAATGAGTAATTTTTTTCCTTTGGGCTTCTCCATGTGTTTAGCATTTGTAAACGTATTTATTAAATTTTCATTCAAAAAAATCTCTCTAAACTAAGTAATGTTATTTTGAAAAAAAATCAAGAAAAATATATTTTGAGAAAAAAAGACAAAAATAGTATTTTCTTAAGGATCCTTCCAGTTTATAAATTTTAAACCAACAGAAGAAACATAGATCACCAATGTACATTACACCTCCATAGAAGACATGTACCTCTGTTGAGTGTTCCATATTCTGTGTGGAAAACACCAATTAGTCTTGTGTAGCCTCTATCAACATGGGCATTAATTGCCCTTTTAAATGCATCACCCCACAGAGCTGGGCCACCAGGTTTCATCTGAAAAGTAGCCAGCTCATAGACTCCTAAAATAGGGAAAAAAATAATTATTTTACAGAGGATCTTGAAATAATTTTTAATCAGTTGTGCTTGATTCCAGTAGTGAAGGACTAACATATATACATCTACATAACCTATATAAACATATATTTATGTCATATTAATTAATTCTTTGCATTATTTTTCCTTGCTTTCATGTTTAGAAAGTTCTTGTCCATGTTTAAGGGCCACTTGTTAAGTTTAATCAAAGAGAAGAAAAGGAAAAAAAGACCAGAAACTATATACAAAGCTATTATCTAAAATATTTTTAATCTATAAAACTTTGTTGATGCAACAGATATTGAGAATTTATAATGAAGTCAAATTTTGAGTTTCTCAAGTCTATAAGAAAATAAATTGACAAAAGAAGTATTTTGTGATCTCCTATGTTTCCCTCTTTTTAATTTGGAGAGCAGATATTTTATTCTTTGTATATTTTTCCATTACAGAATTCCATTTTAACAGGAATTAGCAAGCAAATGGTTGACCTGAAGTCATATCAGAGAAGACATTCGGCATTTGTTTTTTAGGGATTGGGGGGAGAAAAAGTCTGAAAGAGGATTTTATGATTCCTAAATATCCATATAATATTGAAAAGTTTTATACCTATAGTCACAAGTATAGAGAGGATAGAGACAAAGAAAATAGGGAATGAGAAGATCAGACAATAAAAGGAAAAAAATTCCAGAGTTACTAAAGAATTATGAACAATACAGAGAAAGTTAACTAAAATTTGACAGTACTACAGAAGACAACTATTTTTAGATAGTACTGAAACCAGAGGGGAAATATAAGTGAATAAGAATCCCAATAGATGTTTCAAATTTCTTATAATATAAAATACACTACAAGTTGGCAATAATATAGAAAATAATAAGAAATTTAAGTTAGTTTATGCTTTTCTAATCTGACCTTTGTTTAAAAGTAGATTGAGGTAATAGTTTCTTTAAATCAGTAAGAAGTAAAAGCAGCATGAAGACATCTTAAGGAATTATTTTCAAACTGAGAAACTTTCTTTTTTTTTCTTTTTTTATTAGTTGCACATGACAATACAATGATCTTGACATATCATACATTTGAATCAAATGGGATACAATTTCTCATTTTTCTGAGAGTATAGGTTGCAGAATCACATTGGTTATACAGACACGTATATACATACAGCAATACTAGTGTCTATTTTATTCTGCTGCCCTTCCTATCCCCTTTCCCTTCCCCTCCCCTCCCATCACTTCTGTCTACCCAATCTAATGTGACACACTTCTTTTTTTTTACCCCTCACATCATCATACATGTATTTTGTATAACGATGAGGGTCTCCTTCCATCTTCCGTGCAATTCCCCTTCTCCCTCCCTTTCCCTCCTACCTCTCTTCCTTATCTAGAGGTAATTTTCTTCTCATGCTCTTCCTCCCAACCCCATTTTGAGTCACCTCCCTTATATCAGAGAAGACATTTGGCATTTGTTTTTTAGGGATTGGCTGAGAAACTTTCTTGACACAAAAGTTAGACTACACTAATACAGCTTGGCAGTTTCAGTAAATACATTCTCCCCAGTCAATTTTATGAACAAAGATATACTTAATGATTTAAGATTAGTTGTAATTTGTGAAAAAATATTTTTTGCAATACTGGGATTCCATCTGGGGCCTCACACATGATAGGCAAGTGCTATCCCACTGAGCTATATATAGCCCAGCCCTTTCTAAATTTTACTATGAGACAGTGACAGTCAAATTGCCAGGCTGGATTTCAATTTGGGATCCTCCTACCTCAGCCTCTCAAGTAGCTAAGGATTATTGGTTGTGCACCACCATTCCCAGCTATTGAATATATTTTTTTTACATTTAAATGTTTTATTACTTTGAAATTATAACAAAACTTCATATACTATTCCTTATTACCTGCCCCCAAAGTGAAATTTCTTAAACTTTAGCAGCTACATCAATCTTCTACAGTGTAACTAAATTTACCAATCAACAAAAATCTCAATTTGGAAAAAAATCTTAATACTCATATTTTAAGAATAAACAAAAAGGCATAATTTAATTTTATCTCAACAATCAAAGTATGTTACCATAAAATAAAGAATTAGCTTCCTTGTTTGCTAATGGAACTTCACCTTTTATCACTTAAAATCTTTAGTATTTCATTCATCTAAATTCCAAGTGGTGAAGAAGGAAGATGACTTACCCTCTTTTGGAGGCTTTTCTAATTTGCACCATGGCACCAGGTAAGTAATCTCACTCTCTTGCTTATCAATGAGAGCCAAATTTGGAATGAGGAATTGTTCTTGCCATTCCTTATCTTTAGCCAAGGCTTTCCGAACTGCAGTTCGATGAGCAAAATTATCTAGGGGAGACAAGAATTAAGAAAAAGAAACATTTACAACTTAAAATCTCCTATGCTTCTCTGGATTTCATCCAAATCTTCAAACATTCACCTGTAGCATAGAGGAACACTGTTATGCTTTTGGATATACTAACATAAGGAGATGTGACATCTGTACTCAAATTGCTCATGGGCTTACGGGGAATAGAATTGCAAATGACTAGTGTAATGTCACAGAATTGACTTCATAGGTTCTATGACTTTGCAGGAGGAAGTTTTTGTATCCTTCTGCATTCAGTTTCTTAGTCTGTGTAATGGAGAGAATGCAACATTGTTCTCCAGGCTTGTTATGAAGGTTAACTGAATTAATACACAAAAAGAGCTTAGAACAATGTTTAGCATCTAGTTAATTTCAATATTTGTGGAATATTCTTATTAATTCAACTGAGGCATTTAACTGATAGTGCTAGTTCAGAGAAAGAAGATTTTTCTTTCATGGTGGCAGGTGCTCAGGTCAAGGTACACCTTGAATCAAATTACAATAAATGAAATTAAAATGTATTTGGTGAGTCTCTTCTCCTTTGAACAAAGAGCCTTCAAAGAAATAGTGTTGATTCTCTTACTTATTACCAGCCATTTCCTCCCCCCGCCAGCACTTATTTTTCTTCTGAGTTATTCCAACAGGTATCGACGTTTACCCACATATGGGCCTAGTACTGTATTTACTATGAAAACCTTATAAGACTAATGATAAGAGTTTTATATGGTTTATGATGGTGATAAGAAATAACATCTATCTCACAGCTTAAGTGAGGTAGATCAGGACTTCATTAGTTTTCTTAGTGGGCCATGATTTAACTTGTAGCACATCTAAAGCACAAGTTGTGTTTTAATGGGGCTTGTTCTATTACAATAGGTAAAAATCCTATACTGTGCCCATGATAAGTGTAGAATGAATATATTTTTATAATAAAATATTTTATGAATATTAATTTGGGCACTGATCAAATAAACCATTCCATTTTTTTATGAGAATAGAAGTTTACCATATTATGATTTATGACACAACAAGTTCTCATTCATAATAACTGAAGAATTTGAGCCAGAGGTTGTTAGAGATGGACCAATGGAAGAATTAATCACTAAATACACACACACACACACACACATAAAGGTGTCATATATTTTAAAAGATTTACTTAACCTGTATGTATCGCTAGTAATATAAATCCAAGAACTAAGTCTTATACTCATGTAACATGGAATGCAATGAAAATCTGTACTGAACACTTAACCAGGATGATTCATACCATACTTCCAAATGTGAAACACTTTATTTATTCTGCCTCCAAATTCTACACTCCAATATCCAACCAATTCAGAGTGAGCTGTCCGAAGATGCACATTTTTCTTGAAGTTTTCTAGGAACTCATTCACCTTTGAGGGTTTAAGAGCATAGGTACGAAATTCATAGAACATTCCATCATTTTGTCTGGGGCCTGTAGCAAAAGATGAGCACACCTGAAGAAAGATAAGGCAAATTTAAAGATTTTGGGAAAGGTAGGATGTATCATGTTACAAAACAAGCAGAACATACAGCTACTCTTTCCTGGCAAGAGTTCACAAACTTAGCCACTTTTCCATGAGAAATTGCTTATATGAAGGCATTGGTATCAATGATACTTCTGTACTGGAGAACTACAATTGAAATTCGCATAAATTTACAGTTTTCCTTACTTGGCCAATATTCAATTTTTACTTGGTAGTATATGTGCTAGTTATGCATCTGAAAGAACTTTGTAAATTCAGTATGTATGTCATTTGGCAGGCACAATGAAATGTTTACTAGAAGACCTTTTAAAAAGTGGAAACTGCCACACGTCTGTAATCCCAGTAGCTTGGGGAAGCTGAGGCAGGAAGATGGTGAGTTCAAAACCAGACTCAGCAAGTGAGGTGCTAAGCAACTCAATGAGACCCTGTCTGTAAATAATACAAAATAGGGCTGGGGATGTGGCTCAATGGTTGAGTGCTCCTGAGTTCAATCCCTGGTACCCCCCACCAAAAAAAAAAAAAAAAAATAGAAATTGCTATTTAGGTCAAAGTATTTGCTACATTCAGTGAATTAAACCATTGGTCAAAAATGTAGAAGGTGCTATGTGTTATTCAATTAATGGTAATATAGTGGTGGGCTGTATGAATGCTGAAGAAGAAAAATTCAAGATGAATTGTATGACTCATTATTAGTTTCTAATGACAGATGCAAAATGAAGCACATTTAATGCATCAGTCATACCAGTTTGATGGACACATCCCCTAAGAGCCAGTAGTTCCTTTTGTAATAGTAATATGCTCAGTATGAAAATCTCTAATTCGTGTTGTCAGTGAACTTAATATTCATTAGGGCACATCTTGCCATAAATTATCCTGTATATGTATATGTCTATATACATACATATGTGTGTATGTGTATATATATATATATATGCACATTCATATGGCACATATATGTACATGTGTATATACATGTATATATGTATATTATACACATATATTATATATATGTGTATAATATATACACATATATACATACACACACACACACACATATATATGCACATTCATATGGCATTCTAATTTACAAATACATGTTATGTAGGTTTCACTAGCCTGAACTATGTACACCAGAAAAATATTTTAAAACAGTTTTGGTACCCACAAATCTACAAATTAGGATTGACATTTATAACTTTGTATATCCCTTTTTTTTGCTCTGATTTTTTAAAAAACTTTATTATATGGTGCTGAAAGTCGAACCAGTGCCTCACAGATGCTAGGCAAATACTCTACCACTGAGCCACAACCCCAGCCCCTGCTCTGATACATTTATCTAGAAAACACAATAGCATATGGGTTTCATTTAATTGTATATAAAGTTAATATCAACATCTCACTTGAATTCATTCCACTCATGTCTATTAGGAGTTATAGTCATATGCCTAAAATGACTGTTTGCCATCAATCACAACTGCAGCTGGTCTTGTTTGGTGGAAATTCTGTACTTTTAAACCAAATTATAATAACAGAATGTTAGTGGAACAAACAACTTTTGTCCACAGTTTAAAAAATATGATAAATAAAATATGTCAAAAATGAACCAATAGTACATAAGGAACTGCACATTTTAGGTTGGTTAATGAATTTCTATTTGGAAACAGTTATTCAAACACACACACTAAAGTATAATCTTTCTCAGGAGAATGTGTATGTGTGTGTGTGTCTGTGCACATATACGTATTTATACACACATATACACACACAGAGTAGAGAACCTGCATTGAGGGTAAGGGGCTTGGCTGGGGAATGACGTCATTTCCTGATTTTTGCTGCAGGACTAAAACCTTGCTGGGGCAGAAATCATCAGTGCTTCATACTCCCTTTAAGTTAGGACTCATTCTTGCGAGCAATGACTAACAATTCATTGAGTACCTTTGTAGAAATGTAAAGTTTACAGAAAAGTTGTAAGGAAATAAATGTTGGCCCTGCTCCACCTGAGAGAACCAATAGGATAGAGACTGCATTGTTAGCCAGGCAAGGTGGCCCATGCCTGTAATCCCTGCGACTCCATATTCTGAGGCAGGAGGATAGAAAGATCCAGGCCAGCCTCAGCAACTATATGGGACCCTGTCTCAAAACAAAAAAATTAAAAGGGCTGGGGATGTACCTCACCGGTAAAGCGACCGTGGGTTCAATCCCCAGTACAAACAAAACAAAAATCTGCTTCTCCTTTTCCATTGTTTTTGGAAAGGAATTTTAAGCCTAAACATGGAAAGGAATACAATCTCGACGATAAATCCACTGGACCACACACAACAAGCCGATTCCCACGGTTCAGATCCAATCCCTGGCTTCTTTTTGGACCTTTCTCATCTAAGGCTGAAGCAGGTCACGTTTACGGTCTTCAGGCTCAGGCCCCCGCTGGGCTTGGGGACCACCGCAGGACACAGGGAGGGCGGCAAGGTGCCCCACACTGGGACCCTGGCCGACTCTCCAAGGTTCTCGGCAAAATGCTCGCAAGCTGCGCCTTCCTTTCAAAGGTGAACGCTGGTGGGGTCGCCAGTCGTCGGTGGTCCTCTCCCGCACCTTTAGTGTGGACGGAGCGAAGACTTGTCAAACCCACACCTACGCGAGGCCGACGGCTACAAGGCCCCGCCTCGAAGCAGCGCGAGCTCCCGGAGCCGCAGCCGCCACGGTGCTGGCGGCAAAATCGCAACCGCCAGTGCTTTGGGAGCGACTTTGGGGCTGGCTGCTTGGCTCCCATGCCAGAAAAGACTTCTGTCCACCGGGTAGACGACTCTGACCCAAGGGATCCCTTTTCCTCCGTGGCCGCCGCCCCATATCCACTAGGCAGAGCCGCGTCCGGCGCGCGCGTGCGTGGGACTCGCTTACCAGCCCCGCTTCCGCCCTGGCCCCACCCCGCCCCACTCTGCAGCTCGGGCGCGCCCCCCGGCGGCCGGTACCTGGGGCGCGAGCGTGCGTGCGGTCAGAGCCCGGGCCAGGACGCTTCGGAGGGGCAGCATGGCGCAGCGTGGGGCCAGGACACTTCGGAGGAGCAGCATGGCGCAGCGTGGGGCGCCCAGGAAGGCAGCCAGCTGGCATCCGACGTGAGACTCTCCTCGTACGGCTTCCTGACTGGAAAGGCGCAGCGAAGGGACAGTTAGAGGACATGGGCTGGGGCGGGACTGGCGCGTCAGCTCCGCCCCCGCCCTGGAGGTGCACCCCGGGGCCCAGTGTGCAGGAGTGTGGTGCCAGCCCTGACCCAGTATTTCCCCTTTGTTTCCACGACAGTTCTTGCCCCAAACGTTAGAGTTGATGTTGCAGTAGCTGAAAGCGGAGTTCGTACTGTTCCACCTTCTGGTCTGTCGCCTCCTCAGAGCCCTGTTGTGCAAATGTTCCGGGTAGATCGCGTGTGTCTATGAGCAGGAAGGTGCTGTATGGATGCCTGCGTGTGCAGGCTTTGCATTTAAAATCATGATGTTTTTTTTTTTTTTTTTTCTTTTTTGTTGACAGAGAGCAGAGCTGGGAGCCTTCACTTGTCTTCACTGCAGATATTCTCCATCCCACTTGCCAGGCCAGCATGGCTTTGAAGAGATTCAGATTAGTTTTTTTATGCACTTAGAGGAATGGGGGCACTGAAACTGGTATGAAAATTCAAATTTCAGCATACATAGATTGAGATTAAATAATTCAGTAAGACTCAATACAGTCAACCTCTCACGTGGTCCTGTCTGTGTAATTATTGGTTCCTATAGTAACTATTTTATGTTTTAAAGCTGTTTCCTCTAATTCGTGTTTCTATCTTTATCAAACAGGCATATTGTAGTGCTTCATAATTTTTCAGTTGTAAATAATGTTACAAGGCACCTGCCTGCTGAGAGACTGTCAGCTGGGAACACCTCTGGATTCTTGCATTCAAGCCATAAAGAGACCTGTCACTCTGAGTGATCAGCATGAGTTTATGAGAAGGGCTAGGAAAAGGGGATACTCTCAAGGAAGAGAGCGGGTCCTCTCAGAGAGAAGAAGGATGGCTTGCTCTTCCAGCCTTCTGGTTTTATTGGGGGGTCCTAGGGAAGTTTTCAGAAAGCCTGGCCTAGGTTCACCTCTTGACTTTTGACTGACAGCAGGATGACATCAGACTTTCAAGTCTCCATTGCACATGACAACTCTAGATTACTTTGGCTCATGCTGACTGGTTTGTTTAAGAGTCACAAAAGCTTTCCCCTCTACCCTACCAGGCAGGGTTGCAGGTAAATTTTTTCTTGGGAAGCATGTGGGGGTCAGCATAGTGGGCCCACCACTCACATATGTCTGTTCCATATCTATAGTATCTATTGATTTGTAAGATAAAGATTTAGATTTCTTCATCCCACTCCCCAAAATACACTTCTTTTCCCATGTTTACTAATGCTTACATTAAAAGTAATTCTTTGATTGTCACATTAATGTACTTTAGTCTATGTTTATATTTACTAACAGTTATATAGTACACATGTTTAATAATATTGTTTAGGTCATTAGGACTACAGAATTACAGAGATCTCATTGTATAAGTTGTGTTTTTTGGGAAGGGCTTTTGAGTCATCTCTTCAGTGGAAAGGATCCTTTATAAAATTATTAATTCTGGATGTGTTGCCTCAGTTTTCCCGGAAGAGAAGATCCATTTTTAACCAAGCAAGACTAAATAATGCATTGTTTGTCAGAACTGGATCTAGATGATTAAATTTATTTCCAATTAGCAATTTGATTAACTAATCACTCACTAATTCAATTAATAGTTAATAAATTCCTTCTGTGCTTCAGGCCTTTTTCCAGATACTGTGGTACTGAGGGAAACAAAAGTCAAAGTTCTAGTACTTTGGGGGCAGGCATATAGGGTAGGAGAAGAGAAAATATATCAGGGATTAATAAATATCCAATATAGCAGGATATAGGGCAATTAATTCAGTCGGATATGGAGAATAGAAAGTACCAGAGGAAGACAGCAGAGACTGCCAACTATTTCTCAATATCCACTCTTCCCTCACACTTTTAAAAAGATGAGTAATAGAATACTTAGCTTACTGAGGCTGTGTGATAGAGTCCTGACCAGTGGGAAGTGTTAGTGCATTAATGACCTGTAAGTGATCTAAAGGGGTGCAGGAGAGAAGAGTTGTTCCTGTCTTTGTTCCTTCCTTATTTTTTTTTTTGCTACTATATAGGCATAATGGCTTGAGTCCTTGGCCTACAAGATAGAAGGCACATGCTGTTGATGATGGAATAAGAGAGGAGCAGTTTAGGTTTCTTATACCATGAAGCATTAGGAATCCTGAACTTCTCTCCTTTGGATTTCTTTTACAAGGAAATCGCCTTCTAGTTTAAGCCACTGTTGTATGTCTTAAACATGTACTTTATTTTTTAAAATTTTTTATTATTTGTTTTAATTAGTTATACATGACAGTAGAATGCACTTATATTCTTTGATGTATATTACATAGATGGGATATAATTTCTCATTTTTCTGAGTATACATATTGTAGAATTATATTGGTCATAGAGTCACATACATACATACAGTAATAATGTCTGTTTCATTCTACTATTTTTCTTATCCCACATCCCCTGCCTTCTCCTCCTTTCACTTCCCTCTACCTAATCTAAGGTAACATTATTTGATTTTTTGCATTACAATTCTTAATACACATAAATACCACACTTTTTGTATTTCTGTTTGTATATAAAGTATGTTGACATCCAATTTAAGTCTTCATATGTGTACTTTGTATAATGATGTCCATCACATTCCACCATCCTTGTTCATCCATGTACTTTAAATGAGAGGGTGAATGTTTCTTCTTTCTCTTTCTCTCTTTTACTTATTTGCTTGTATTCTTTTTTTATACCTATCATTTATTAATCACTAAATTCTGTGCTAAAGTCATAAATTTTCTCTCACCAGGATTAAACCCATTCATCAGTTTATCATTTTGATACTCTGGAATTAACATCTCAGGACTCCTACTTCTCTTGCTTCAGGGTGTACTAGTTATTTAAGATGGTATAACAGAGATTCAGGGATCTCCTTTTACTGGTGTCCCAGGGAATTTAATTTTCCTTGTGTTGTACCACCATTTCAGGCTCTTATATTTCCCTATGTCCAAATTTTAGGGGAGGGTACATAGCAATTAAACTTTTGAAACTTGCGTCTCTAAAATTATCTTTATTCTGCCAAATTTATTCATGGTTTGGAAATTCTACACTAGAAATCTTTTGTCCTCATATTTTTAAGGCAATGCTTCATTGATAGATTCTAGTATGAAATTGTTTCTTTTTTAAAATAATTTTTTAAATTTATTTTTAAATTTTAATTGTTATATATGACAGCAGAATGCATTACAATTCATATTACACATATAGAGCATAGTTTTTCATATTTCTGGTTGTAGAGTCACACCATTCGTGTCTTCATACATGTACTTAGGGCAATGATATCCATCTCATTCCACCATCTTTTTTTACCCCCTTGTCCCTTCCCTTGCCCTCCTGCTAAGAGCCACAGCCAAGTAATATGATGCATGGCATTTTTGGTTGAAAGGTGATGCCAGCAAGCCATTGAGATGATATGATTATGTTAAGATTTGCATTCATATGGATATTGGACTCCTGCTGTTCACCTAGGCCTGCTATGGGACTCCTGGAGAGTTCCCATTGGTTGGGGAAGTGCGGTAGGAGGGAATTCCGGAGGAGGAACTTCCTCTTGGGATCCGGGAGAACGCTGTGAGCACCAGTCGGCAATCTTCCTGAGAGCATACGGGGGCATTGGCGGCAGTTTCAAAAATAAAGTTTGTTCCTGCTTAAGTGGCTCGTGATTTTGTGCCCAGCCAGACTGCAGCACCCTCCCTCCCCTTTGCCCTATCTAGAGTTCATCTAATCTTCCCATGCTCCCCCTCCCAACCCCACTATGAATCAGCCTCCTTATATCAGAGAAAACATTTGGCATTTGTTTTTTGGGGCTTGACTTCACTTAGCATTATATGAAATTGTTTCTTATTCTCAATGGGAGTTGATGTGCCTTGGAGGAGGTTTATTTTTTTCCTTAAGGTACTAACTGACAAATCTAACGGTGGGTGTAAGAGATACAATTATGAAGTCATAATGAGCATAAAAGGAATTCAAGTGTACTTGTTACAACTACAAGTTAGAATTTGACAATATCTATGATTTTTATTGGCTAAAATGTCACAGGTCTTGTAGCTCATTGCCTCTCTTCATACATAAAGGAGATGCTTAATTTCAGATAGAAGTTGGTGACAATAAAGATGCAATTTTTAACTGTCGAGGTTAATAGACCCTTTGAGTTCTGTCAGTACTGTCCCTTGAGTTCTGTGTACTGGAGATTACAAACCTCTTCAGTAGACTACATATGCAGCAGTGGAAATCCTGGACCATAAGTTATGTGCATATTCATCTTTACCAAATAGCGACAATATGTTTTGTAAATTTATACTCTTATTGGCAGTGATGAAGTTATTTTTTTTAAAGAATGTTGTCTTTTTCCACATTTATCTTGTTCATTTATTTATTTTTTTTATGTGGT